GACAATTCATTTTTTTTCAAAATTTTTGGTATAGTCTGATAGCCAGTCCTATAAGCTTTAATTTGATATGGGGGTTTAGATATCTACAGTTTAAACCGGACGCGCTACATCGCTTGCACGCGAGACACACCTAAAGGTGCACGTTAACCTTAATTGCACCTCATTTATGGGGATCATCTTGTTTTTGTCATCACCTATTGGTCAATATATGATTTACTTGATTTTATTTATGACTTTTGTGCAAAAGTAGAAATCTAGGGCCTTTTTAACTTAGTGTCCTTAATTTGGTTGCGCCGTGCGCTTGGAGTACGGTTAGTTATTCTGTTGCTTACTCTCTTATCGCCTCTAACGGATGTCTACGTAAAAATATCACCAGCTCATTGATTCGTTTCTTTTTTTACACAGTTTCGTCTTGGTCTTTTTTGTTACGTGCTTACCTGTACTCAAGCTCCAAGTTTGGATAACTCTGTTGCTGTGGACATCTATCTTAGATGCAGACAAACGGTAGCTGTTTCCATTACTTCCCCACAGTACCCACAATCCTTGTTCATCAACCGCCAAGTCCATATAACTATATCCGCCCCATCGATAATGATTCCTTCGGGTCGAAAATCCTAGGTTAATTTGAGCCTCCAAACGCTCTGTGTGAAGATTGTACTTGATGATATAGGCTGTTTTGGCTCTGTCATGAAAAAAAAAAACTGATTTAACACGTGGGGCTTATTTCTTCTTAAACCCTCATTCTGCAGAATGTTTCAATTTTATTGAGACTCTAATGATAATGAAAAGAAAATCCTCTGTAAACAAAAGTTAAGTTAAGTTTTGATCGTTAGATACTTTTTTGAATTCTTATATCTGGAAGCCGTGAAATGTTTCACCTGCTGTAGTAAAGGTATGGTCCATACACTACTGCTCCAGTTCCATCAAAATAGTGAGGCAGAGAGTAAGTCTTGTGAACCACACCAGCCTTTAACTTGTCCATGTTTTCAAAGGCTTGGATCACATTTCCGTAATAATTTTCCATGGTGAATATGGACTCAGTACCCATGATTCCTAACGGGTCTTTCATCCAAGCTCCTTGTGTATATCGCCGTGTGCTGTGCGTGATAGGTTTTCCAACAGATTTTATGTTCGTGCATCTATCTGAGGAAGTTTCAGTCAAAGTGAAAGTCGCCGATTATTAACTGATCACATTTCTCTTTTTTTCTTAGAGATATCTGATTGGAAAGCCTTTTGATCACCTACACATAGGTCAAGTCGTAAAGCGAAATTTGTGTTTTTTTCGTTAACGTTATGGTAAACTGTACAAAATTCGCGATTTTCTACAGTTCTTCTTGAGTGATAAACCAGTCACTTAAACTGAGCCTACTCGCGTATTTTACAAAAGGATCATGATTTTTTTACTGCACTTTTTGCAAGCTAGACGGTTTTTTTTTGGTTCGTGTAAGAAAAATATGTTATTTTTTCGTAAACTTCGCTGTTTTCGTTGAGGCCTTATTTAACCCTTTTGCGCACATTTGGCGATTTTTATAGACGCCCGTCTAGAAAATTTTAAATTTTATGGTTTCTGCAATCTAGCACTGTTTTTGCAATTTTCATACATTTTATTGACGTTCGACTCTCTTGCGGATCTTTCTCAGATCTTGTAATCTTTCAATCCTGCGATTTTCATAAATTTCTTTTGGGTATTTAAATCTTTGCAATCTCTCATGATTTTCTCGATTTTCTTCAACGCTCTTTTGTGTTTTAGTAATTTTTGCAATTGAGATTTTTGTAATTCTCGTATACTTAACGTAACTCCAGGGTTGGTTTTTTTTTTCAGTCACACACCTGTTATTTTTTACAACTTTTGGAATCCAAATTTTATTTTTGTACTTTTTGCATAGCACTCGTCTGAAAAAAAAATTGCAAAAGTACGAATGCAAAATTTGCCGTAAATCTTCGTAGCCGCGTTAAACCCCTAAGTAGAGTCTCCAAGTGCTAACTCCTTCCACAGTAAAGTGTCTTGGGTGTTTCTTGTGGTTTACGCCTTTCCTCGAACGAAGCTGACGAGAAAAAATTTAGTCCTAGTCTCTTAAAGCTCAGGCAGAACGATCGTTTTTAACAAACCTCTTTCCAGGATATAAACACTTTCTTTTGCTTTGTCTAAATCCTGTTGCTCATCAAGGAGCATCTTAAGCAGCTACAAAAGCATAAAAGATGTCTCACTAATGTGCTTAACCAAGAGCCATAATTGTCCCAATATTGGCTCATGGCTTAACCGGGGTAACACGGTTCCTCAGTTTGCGTCGGGAAATTTCTAGTAAATGGTCTTGACAATTACTTTTACTAATTGACCCAAAGCTGAGGTAGCGAGAAAAGAGTTTTTTTTCACAACTCAGTTGTTAAGTGAACGAAAAAATATACACTTTTCATATTGCAACTGCACCTATTTCATTTGTGGTTTGTTTTCATGGTATCAGACTGTAGTAACTATATCTTTAAAAGATACAATTTTTTTGCTGCAAAGTACTTACGTGCTTCTTTGCCAACTCAAGAGCGAGGTCTTTCACTGACAACTTCGACGAGTGATGGCGGTGGTTGGAAGATAAACCGCGTTTCATCCGCGGATTCACCGCAGATTTAGCGAGAACATCACCCTAAGGCAAGGACACGGTGCATAGTAACTTTAAAGCCGTAAACCAAACCCCATACTAAGAGTTCGAGGAAACTTCAAGAAATGTTAGGACTTTGAATAAACTTAGCATAATTTATTGAGAGAGCCACGTAAAACATGTTTCCTATACGAGTAGGTTGTTTAAGGTTATAAAAAAACCTTTGGATGGTTGTATTAACAAATGACTGCATTGATGTCTAAGCAAATGTTGTCCGCCATTCAATCATAAACCTAGACGCTCTTTTTCCGTAGTCTGTTTTATTTAAAAAGAGGATGATCAACTTGGAATATTTTTGATGAAACACTGTAAGGGCTGAATGAGTTGTTTAGAAAACATCGTTACCCACACTTCATGCTCAAGGTTATAAAATTATAAAATGTTGTCGAGATGTTGTAAGAAAATTGTTTCAGTTTGTGTTTGAAGTATCACTAGCGAGCGGTCAAGATTGTTTACATGCTCACTGATTATAAATTAAGGCCATGAATTGAAGGACATTATGATTAGGTTGTGCGCGTGCGCGCTGACTAAAATCGTCAAACCTTTGCTTACCAGAAGTACGATGAAATGGAGGAGGAACAGTGAGCGATAACGAAACATTATAGTGAAGGAATCGGCTTTTGTCTTGAACTGATCTGGAAGAAAATAAAATGAAATTTATATCGAAAGTTTGCCCTTATGAATTTGAAATAAAACATCTAAACACACTTACAAAGCAATTTGAAAACTTGTGTTTTCCAGCAGCAGATATCTCTAAAGTCTTGGGGCCCAGGAGGTTTTTTCGCGAGGGGTTTCGACGCCGCAGAGATTGAATTTTGTCAGCCAGATGCGCTCTTTATTGCGTGAGTGACTTGAACTTGGCCACGTACACTAAGCAGATTCTGCAAATTTTCATGTTGGTTAAAGTATGACTCATTGTTTATTATAACATAGCTTGTAAATTCTCACGAGCGTGCTTCAATTTTCTATTGTGCACGCTGGTGACGTCGGCAAACAAATGCCTCGCGAAAAAAATTTTTTCTCGCGAGTCACTTCGGCATTTTTCTTTAAAAAAAACGGGAAAAACTTCCGCAAAAAAAGTTAAACTAGACATGGCAGCAAGCGAATAAGCTGATGAAGATCTGCCTACTTTTTCTTTGGGAATGGATTTTTTAACTCCTGAGAAAGAATCCAGAGAAAGGGAAAACAAAACAATCAACGCCGGTTTCATCTCGTTTCGCAACTCTAACTTCCTTTCCACGCATGAATTCACCTGTCAGTTTTTGACCAATCTGAGACAAGGTCGTCGAAGCATAGCGAGATACTTTTCCGAAACAAAATAAATAAACAAGGCATTGAAGCGTAGGAGAGGGAATTTCTGCCCCTTTTACATAAGCTACAGCGTTGAAAATGTTATAAAACAATTGGTTCATAAGTCAGCTGTGCGTTCATCGAGATATGAAGCACTGGGAAGTTTGGAGAGCACTCAAGAAGCTAGAGTTGCTCTCGGCTACCAACCCTTACGCATCTTTGTCTTTTTGAGACATGAATTTGTAACGTACTGTCTGTAAATTGGATGACTTATTTGCGTAGTGAAACCCGAATTGAAACAATTCACTAAAGAAAGTTAAACCTTAAATTGAAATATATCTTAAGACGCTGTCTGTCGATGCATTTGTTTTGTTTAAAGCTTACAAAAAGGGAACAATTTGCTTTACCAAAAGAAAGAAAAGAAGAAAAATGAGAAAAAAGTTCTGTTCTTGCCTTGCGTTGTTCTTACGAGAATAGTATGGAAACTGAAAATCACGAGTCGATAAACGCCCACTGAGGTGTTACGAGGCAATGCAATGGTTAAATTTTATTCGCAGGTCTTTCCCACCGTTCAGTTTGGAAATAGAAGCTATGCCTCAGAGATAGGGGGCAAGTATTCCTACCTCTGCGCTATTCCTGTTCCCCAATAAAAGTTCACTGCTCTCTCAGTTGATTTGGTTTTTGTATGAGAGAGAAGAGTATTTGCGCTTTCTCTACGAGAAATCAATAGCCGCGCCAACTCAGTCCGAAATTATATTATTGTACCAAACGGCACTTGAATCGGAATATTACACAAGCTGAAACTTGACTGGGACGTATGCCGAAAGAGAAATAACATAATCGATTTAGTATATGCTGAAGGAAGCGATTCTAGAACAGTTGCCAACATAGAAATCATCAGCTATTAGGAACGTTAATTAACACTTTTCACTTTAGACTGCCTAAAGTTGTCTGCTCCAATACTCAAATATAACCTCATTTTTCGCAAGTGTCACCTACAGACTGGATGGCTTCTCTTGTTGTTTTCGCTTTCACCTTTCCAGCTGAAATAGTACGGGTGCAGAGCAAATTTCCAACTATTGGCGATATCCATTTTAAAGGACGTCAATTCTTACTTGGAAAATCGTTTCTGCTCATAGGCGTAAGGTCCGCTCTTAAGGCTGTAGCTGTCCTGCATTACTGTTCTGAACAATGAATGTTTGACTCCAAACAAATTTGGATTTTATGAGCACAACTCGACCAGGCTGCCGCGGCAGAGCGGTAGCACAAACTACATTAACCCCTCCTCTCCACCCACAGCAATGAATAGACGCAGGAGTAAACTGGTCCTCGTGGGTGGGAATGAATCTTTCTTTGACTTCCATAAGGTAAATTAAAAGTATTCAAAAGTCCTATCAGGGGCTACTACATCAGAACAAAGTTCGTTGGTAAAGTCTTGTCACGAAATGTTTTCAACATTCGTTGATTTGACCTTCAAGTGCGTTTTTGTTCAGTTATCACTGGAAAGTCAAGAAGTGAAATAGAAATTCGGCAGAATCAAATATACAGCGGCACTTTCTTGGCAGTATCGCAGAACAAAGAATCCATCTCAACTCATCACTCGATATCATATCGACTCCAGTAGATCCGTTCAAAAGCAAACGCGGTTTGCACGCGAAAAAAAGGCATCAAAACGACGATTATAATTTGGAATTATAATTCATCCTAGGAAAATTGCAGATACTAGGAATTAATAAGAGAGGTTAAGGACATAATTTACAATAAATGAAAAACGGAAGCATTGAAACTTTGTGACGTCTTCCTTTAGCTGTTTTCCTCCCAAGTTAGGTCTTTGTAGAATGTGAACAACAAACTATTTGTTATTTTTTTGTACAGCATTTTCCAAAAAGGCTCCAGTGTAAAAGAAACGTAATTTTTGATTTAACAGTCACAATCCAGCCCGGCTGTAATCATTAGGACCTTACAGTATACCAGTTTCCTTCCTTTTAAAGCCGTCAATTACTACGGCTAAAGATATTTACACTGTTTAGTAACGAGGTCGTCTTGTAAAGGCGTGTTTTGGCTGATAATTTTCCAGTGTTTTGATTTTTGTTTGTAGATCGGCCTTTAATTCCTCGAGACCTCGAAAGAGAAAGCATCCTCGTCAAATACCTCAGCGCAAATTGTTAGCTCCTCTTTAATATGGAATGTCGTGGCAACTGAGCGTCTAAATAGCTATAATGCCTGCTGGCGGGTCTAAATGACAATGAATATCTTTGTCAAAACGTACATAACTCAGGCATAAACTGAAGAAGTGGCTCGTTTGTAAATAGGGAAGTTCATAAAATCCTATGCGAAAGTACTCATAAACAGAGATCACAAAACTAGACAGCTCATGAAATTTGCCTTCTGAACTAACGTCAAAGACACGGAATTGGAGATTTTTATTGTCAGACAATCAGGATGACCTTGAGTAAGCAACATTTCAATATTTACCAGTTGTCTGATGATTCTAATGTCTTCCACGATTACAAAACTTAACAATGGCAGGAATAGAACATAACAAATAGACGAAATCCTCTGTAAACACGAGTCACTAACCTAACAATACTGCTATTGAGTAAAGCATTAGAGTCTCGTGTCAACTGTCTGACGCGAGACTGACATTCAGAAATTAAAATATGCTTCTTGCAAAAGTAACATGTTCAACTCTTCTTCGATCTTCTGTCAACTTTTGTGGTCGTAAGATCCAAGTGTTAGGCAAGTTGGAAATGAAAACTTAGAAAAAAGCGATTTTGTCTCACACAAGGCCAGAAAATACTGAAACACAACGCGAGAGGTCTGCTAAACTTTGTCGCATGATATTCTCATTCTCATTTCCGAATTAAACTTAAGTTGAAGTTCGTTTGTATTATTTTTATTATTCGCTCCGACGAAGTGCGAACGCTCGAAACTTCAGCTTTAGAAATTCTTTACGGTAGCCAATTTACATTATCAACTCAGTTGATAAAACCAGATTATCTACGATCCACCGACGTAGCACCACAGTCCCTTTGGTGGAGCTTTCCCTTTTGAGATGCTACTGTGCTATTGAAGAATAGCGCAGGTAATAGATAGTACGTTAAGAGTAGCGATGAGAAACCCACAATGACTAAATATTGGCTACGGAAAAGAGCTAAGACATAAGAATTCTACGGTGGCCCATAAGTGCACAACACAATGTGTTGTGTTTCAGATAAATGTATTGTGTTTGAAATAAGTTTGTGGGGTTTTTAGCGTGTGTTTTGTGTTTTCAGTTTGCGTGTGTTGTGTTTTCAGTGTTTGTGTTGTGTTTTGCACTTATGGGCCACTGTAGCAAGGAGATCAGTTTTTTTTTTTTTAATGAAACTGTAAACATTCCACCCATGCACTATCTTACAGCATTTCCGTTGATCACGGTCAATGGAAACTTGTATTTCGCCGCAGCTTCGCAGCCGGTACTAAATCAGTCGGTTATGCCCTTCAATAGTTTTCCAAGAGCGTTCAGTTGAGAATGTTAGATAAAAAAAAAAAAAACGAATCAAAACATAGACCTTAGCATCAGGCTTTTTGCATTTAGCATTATCAACCTAAATTAAAAGCCGTCAACTTTACTAACCTTCTCAGTCTGACCTTAATCGTCGTCGATCCCTCTCCGATCATGGCTCCTCGTTTTGCAAATTCTCAATTTCTTTACCCGTGAGCTATTTGAGAACGATTTTAAAAACACTGAGCGGAAAAAGTACGTCATAATTCGTATTTACCAACATGACTGAATCGAAATTTTGGACTTAAGCGCGCTTCTTTTACTAGTGTTAGCGCTTAGGGTTAGGTATTACGCGCACGAGAAATAAAAATCTTTCGCGCGTGACTATGGCTTCCCTTGATCAAAACTGCCCCAAACTTAGGTTCTTGGTAATCGGAATGTAGCCGTCAGAAATGAGCAATTAAGGATTTCATCTACTGGTTAAGTTAAGTCAAACTATTTGGTTTCCTTGTTATAAGCACACCTCGATAGAACCCATGAAACTCGACCCATTTAACACTCTGATTAGACAGAAAATATTCCGAGAGAGAAGAACTTTCCGTCAGTCGTGATTAGTGCAGTTAATATGTGACCTAATCAGTTTGGCTTTTTGGCTGCTAAAAAGATCTGCTTGAGAATCAGGAGATTGAAGAGCATTATATTATAGCTCTTGAATTTCGTAATTTATCTCCTCGGTGTGATGGTTACATTTGCGAAAGTCGCTGGCCTGGGTCCGGTTTTAAGTTACCCATAATGCTCCATAGTCAAATCGTTCAATCAAATGAGTCCCCCTCCGAGACATCTTACACTTGATTTCCTCGCTTGGCAAGTTGTCGTTGTATGAAGTATTATGTTCTTTCAAGCTTTCTAGAGTACTCTAGCAACATTATTCGAGTTTTATCATCAAGGAGTAAGTGACAGACTTATTTTGTGTTGGATCAGTGAATACACAGGTAGGAACGATTGCTCTGTAAAGCGATCGGGAACGCCGAGTCTTCAAATAATGGAGGTCGAATCGATGAACTGTGGACTAGCTTGACCGCTTTACATCGTTATTTTTTAAGATACGAGCTAGAATTGAAAAGCTGAAACAGCCCTTAATTGAAATAATGCGCTGAACGTGATCACAGAGCTGTCATAAAATATGTTTCTTTTCTTCGTGATCGCAAACATTGGTTAATGGTGGATACGCTGCATAGATACTTTTGAATGGCCGCAAGTACCAGTGTTGAATAGTGACTTTGAATGCATTTACATCGTTGGGGCTCTACTTTAATATTGTTCGGCTCTCGTTGCAATCTTTAGATGTAGAATTTAGCAAACTTAGGCTAGAAATGCCCTGTGCAATGATAATGAAATTGTGCAATTTTTTTATTTGGATCATGTAAGTTTTCACACGATTTAAGTAGTATGTCATTTGTACGCGATATGTGAATATTGTAATTCCTATTAAATGTAATTATTTTAAAGGTTATTTGTGTGTGTGTGTGTGGAGACTTGTTGGGGTTTGTCAACGTCAGACATGATTTTGAAATCTTCCATGACTAGCTAGGCCCTTGTAGTTTTGAGGATGTGGGCAGGTGGACATCAACAGGCATCTGCAAATGCCCAGCAATGGTGGCAAATGTCTTACAACTACCAGTATCAAACTCAATCTGCAGGTAAGCAAAATAAGTAATTGCTGTAGAGTGAGTGGGATTGCACAGTTCTGCTTGGCTTCAATTCACTCTAAGGCTGGTCTGCAATCTTCCAAGAGAGAGTGGAAACTTGGTATTTAAATTCTAAGTTTGGATTTTCACTTTTGGTATGACTTACTAAATTGTTTTAAGCGTCCCTCAGATAGATTTCAGACATTGTAATAAGAACTGGAAGTGGCACTTTAAAAAAATTCAATATACCATGCTTTGGTGCAGTCAAATGCCCAGCTTTGATTCTTGTCTTCTTGGAATTTTTATTTGCTGGCTAAATTATTTCTGGTACATTTTGGACATGCTGGAATTATGAGTATGACCTTCGAGAATATGGATACATGTAGTTTGTTACCCTAAGATAAGAGAGCAAACATCTTTTCACTTTCAGATGCTAGCCAAGACTGGGCAGCTAAAGCAGCTTTGTGGGCTCAACAACGAATGGCACAGGAACAGATGGCACAATACTACCAGCATCAGCAGCCAACACAACAGGGAAGCCAAGCTCAGATGCATCAGCAGCCTGGGTATGGTGGTTACCAAGTAGGACAGCAACCACAAATAGTGGTCGACAATCATCTGTATCACCAAGAGTCTGATGCCCCACCCCTCCCTCCAGAGGAAGCCCCAGACCCACCACCACCAGGGTGGTCAGATACAGCCAATGTTGAAAGTCAACCTATTGTTGATAATATTGAAACAGTAGCTATGGATGATGAGACTGTGGAGACCAATGTAACGGAGGTTGAAGAAAACAACAAACCTCATTTTGATTATAAAGAAGAGCGCAAGCCAGTCATTACTCAAGATTACAATCACCAACCTGTGCCTTCTGTGCTTCCTGGAATACAAACCTTTGATCATAATCATGGGTTTGATAGACCCCCTGCTCAGCAGTACAGCCATGCAGCAGTCCAACCCATTGACTATGGGCATGGACAGAGTCTTGATTATGGCCATCAAGCCCCTCTCCTTCCAGGGGCACAGGTTTATGATTACCAACCTCAGTTTGATAGTCATTATTATCATCAGCAGTCTTATGAAATGGAACGACATCATCCCAGGTTTGCACATGAACATGCCAAACCTAAAAGCCATCCTTCAGTTGATTCTCTACCTGATATAAGTGCTGGATTATCTGGTAAGTTATGGTAACCATATTTATTTGGTTTGAGTGGCACCAGTATTTGTTATAAGGCAGTGCACAAATTTGACTAACCATCCAACATGGTGCTCTCCATTTGTGCATTTCTTGGCTTTATGGTTAAAGGTTGTTGTGTTTTTGGAGAGTTCATGTCGATTGGTGAACATGGCCTACTTTGAAGCCAACAGAGGAAAAGAAAAGATTCCAAGCAAGTCTTTGTGAAGATTTTTCACTGAAGTTGGATAATCTTGTGTATGTACCAAGGTGGTAACATGCACTTTGCAGTGGTGAGAGCACCTGTAGCATACTGATATCATGTTTTTTTCATCCTTTGTAGATGTGAAGAAAAAAGCTTTACCCTTGTGGATAAGGGAAGGCCTTGAAAAGTTGGAAAAGAAAAAACAGAAGCAGGAACAAGAAGATGAAAGTGACCCAAAGAAGTCAACTGTGAATTTGTCTGCTTCTGGGCCATCCACCATTGCTGGTTATGATCATGGCAATGTCCATTCTCCTGTACGATCTCCAAAGAGCAATGATTCTGATGAGGTTAGTATGGACAATAGCCTTCACTGTGTGCAAAAAATATGCATGGATATTTGTTTGCAAACATTATTTGTTCTGAAATGCAGACAGTTTTGTAAGGGCAAAGTTCAAGGAAAAACTCACTACTGAAGAAATTAACATTCTAGGATGTGACCTGCAGTGCAGCTGGGTTGTTTTTGAATTAACAAATGGTAAACACCACAGTGTACACTATTGAGTCATGGATGTATGTGGGAGGTTGTTAAGCATGAAAGAAGTGTAAGAGTCACACAAGGCGATAGCCCAAAGTGACTCTAGCTTCTTGAGTGCTTACTAAACCTCCCAAGTGCATCCATAACTCAGTAGTGTACACTGTGGCATTTACCATTTCTTTTATAACATAATATTGATGCATTGTAGCAAAAGAGTTTTCTTTTATTGAACAAATCTTGCGTGACCAGAAAAAACAAGTGCACAGGGAAATTTAGTCTTTTCATTTGCTCACGTCAACAGCATACATCCATTGGCAAATGGTGGACACCAAATTGACCAATCAGAGCATATGCTTCACTTTGGTTAAGTTATAATACTAATTACTTTATCATGAGCAAAGTTCCAGAGTACACAAGAAAAATCTAAGATAAATGCTTTCATTAGAACTTTAGGGTAAGATAACAATGCAACATGTTTTAGAGAAGTGACCCTTTTTTTTTCCTTTCTAGGAGAGTGGCAAGGAAAAGGCCAGCCAGCACTCCTCAACGGAGGAAAGTGATCCTGATAGCTACAGTAAACACTTGGCTGCTAAAAGTCAGGATTCCAAGCAAGGTCACTCATCACATAAGAAGGCCCAGTCATCAGAGGAAGAAGAAGAGGAAGAGAAGACAGAAGAGGATAAACAACAGGAACTGGTGTGCTTAGTTTTTGTCTTTTTTTCCTTCCTTCACTTCTTGATACATAGCAATTCTTTCTCCTACACAATAGAGATAAGGTTGGCTCACTATTTTATCCCACAGGGCTTGACACTAACAGTAGGCAACTAGCCACACACTATTAGAAATTCAGTTTTGGCTTGTGGTTTTTGATTTTCACCAGCCAGTTTGGCTAGTAAACAAACTGAAATCTTTTTAACATCTAAGATGTCACTAGCCACTTGGCTAGTAAGTTGAAAAGTTATTGTGGAGCCCTGTCACTAATCATGTACTTGTTCATGTACTTAAACCCAAAGGAAAAAGAAGAGTGAGGCAGAATTAATCATAAAAATACATGTAGTTGTAATTAATTCACTGTGGTTAAGTAAAACAGTAACAAAATGCAGTTAAACCTGTACTAGATGGTCACCTACTGGGAACGGTAGGCTGACTGCTTATGTAGGCTGAGCACTTAATACACGTTCCTCAGAATAGGGCTGTTATGAAAAAATGATTAAAACACCATTTTATCTCATAATATACCTCTTATTATTAAAAATTGGATCATTGGATAATGCAATTCAAGACATTTTATTGGCTTAGCCATTATGGTATATTTAACAACTATTCACCAAAGTGGAGGTGATTAGTGGTGGATATTTACCTCGCTGCTTCGCGGCTCGGTAAATATCCACCGCTAACCACCGGCACTGAGGTGAATAGTTGTTTTAGTATATACTAAAACAGTGAGATAATATAC